TTCTTTGTTCTTGCTTTCCATTTCTGTCCCATATTCAATCAATAATTTTCTAGTAAGTACAAGTACAATAAATGGAAAGCTACGAAAGGGGTAAATTATTGCTTTAATACATGCTTTCTCCTCATATTACTTGCACTGGGCCATACTGGTCAGCTTTCTATAAAAGGTGGTAGTTGCAAGTATTCATAGACCTCCACTACCCTTGTGAGTTTTTAAGACGCATAATTCCTTTAAAATAATATCACACTGGGGAAATCTGAATAAGGTTGTTGGATTGTGTCAATGTCAATATCCTGGTTGTGATACTGTACTGTAGTTTTTCAAGTTATGGCCATTAGGGACGAATACATGGGATCTCTCTGTAGTATTTATTTAAAATGCATGTAAATTTACGATTACATTTATGAAACTTTCAGTCATCTGTTATTACAAAGCATTATATTCCTTATCTCACTTAGGTCTGTTTAGCAAAAGACGACTTGATGCTTAATATAATATGGCACTTAAAAATGTAGACTTTGATCCTGAAACCTGGACTTGAATCCTGGCTGTAGCACTTTTTAATTGGCCAACCTACCGAGACTCTCATGGTTTTGTCTTTCTCATTAAGTGAATGAGGAGAAATAGTAAATACCTCACAGAGGTTTGAGGATTAAATGAGATAGACCATGTAAATCATTTTCCCAGTGCTTGACATATAGGAAACACTGGAAAATATTGGCAGCTGTGATGATGATGATTATCATTACCATCATCATCACTATTATTACCTCTATAATTAGAGCTACAAGAGGAGTGCTTCATCATCTTCTCTTGGTCTAGATTCTAATTGCTACAGAGTATTTTGTCTTGTCTTTAATAAGGGGCATTTTGATTATTCACATCATTGTTTTCCTTGAAATAAGTTAAGGGCAAGTTTATCACTTGGAGCTAAATAATTACTGTTAATAAATATAATACATTTTTGAAATTAATGACAGTGGCTTTAATTGATCAAATTGTTCTGGGTACAAAAAAGAGAGAAGAAGGAACAAACTGGAACTGAACAATATCCTATCCCTACTCCAGAGTCACTCCAACAATCCACCTCTGAAATAGAAAATTTGTTTTGGTTGCAGCCCTCCAGATTTTCTTTACCCAAAGAACATACACACATGATTTCTCTCTTTCCTATCACTGAAGTCCATGTGATGTAGTGGAAAAAGCACTGGACAGGGTGATGAGCAGTTCTGGACTCCAATCCAGCCCTGTCGTAGATAGTGTGACCACAAGCCATGCCTTTTACCTGCTCTAGGCACCTGTTTCCCTATGTGTGTAGTGTGAGGTTTGTCTTAGATCAGTGATTCTCAGAGAGTGTTTCCTGGGCCACACTGCCCGCTTTACCTGGATACTTGCTGGGAAAGTACACTCTCGGACCCCACCTCACATCTACTGATTTAGAGGCTCTGGCAGCGGGCGGGGAGGGACGGTAGGGCCGAGCAGTCTTTGTTTTAACAAGCCCTCTAGCTGAACTAGATACGTGCTAAAGTTTGAGAATCACTTCCCTGAATTAAATTTTAGTCTAAATATTAGATTGTTGGGCCTAGCTCCCAGAGTTTCTGATTCATAGATCTGGAAGGGGGGGCGGGGCCTGATAATTTGCTTTTTTGAAGTTCTCAGATGTTGCTGATATTACTGGTCAGGTATCACACTCTGAGAACTAGTAGGTTAGATCAGCTCTGAACTCTGTTCCAACTCTGATTCTATCATTACGATTGCTTTCACAATGTCTTCTGTCCCCCTTCTTACTTACTTTATCCCCCAATTTACTGAAGCTGCCTCAAAACTAATAGCCTTGAAAGTTTCTAACATATCCTACTTTGTAGAGGATGATGGACAGAAAGGAACTTCCCTAAATTCCTACAACTTATGTTAATGTGAAACACCTACAGCTCTTTGGCATTGACATTGACCTTAGACGGTTTAGTTAGTCATCTCACGTATGTAGCTAGTTACAAAAGAAATATCTTCATGCACCAAGATTCAAGAATTAAGGTCTGATGCTTAATTGCCATTGATCCCCTTATGTTGTCTCATGATCTGAAGAGCTTGGGCACCAATGTAGAAGTAAAATTATATTTTTATCCTAAGATGCTGTTTAATGAATAACACTAACATTCCCAAATTGCATCTTCAGATGATCCTTGTAATCCCACCTCTTCTATTTTATGGTTTTCTAGATACTTGGGATGGGATAATGCTCTGTATGGCCTACTGTCTGCTAAGAACATGACAAGCCTCTGCCTGTCAAATTGAATTATTTAGTTGGTTCATATTTTCTTTTCTGAAGTAGAGTTATGGGTAAGAGTCACTGTTTCTTGTGTGTGTGTGTGTGTGTGTCTGTGTGTGTGTGTTTTTTAGTAATTTGATAATTTTCTAGAACAGAATATGCAAACTGCATATGAAAAAAAGGAGGGCTCTTACATTTACTGAGTGCCTATTATGTGCCAGTCACTGTGCCACAAGTGTTACTTTTCTGGTCTATTGAATCCTCACAATAACCATGTAAGATAATATCATTAGCTTTTAGATGAGGAAATAGACTCAGGAAGGTTAAGTAACTGTTCATGATCACACAGCCAAGGAAATGGCAGTGTATAGATTTAAGCTCAGATAAGATTGATAACAAAGCTTCTGTAGGCATCGTAGATTCTGAACAAATATGTGGTAAATGAATGAATAAAGCAATGAGTACATCACGTTATCTTCCTAATGCTGAATTTGAAACAATCTGGATCATAGAGTTGGAAAGGCTCTCTAGGTCATTATCTAGTCAGGGGGTTAGTTATGTTTATCCTTTAAAGGATCCCTAACATGTGGGTATACAGCCTTTACTTGACTACCTCTAGGGAATATGACACACGCGACTCTTTAATCAGAATGATTGTTGAATAAGTCATTATTAGAAAATTCTTCTCTACATTAAACTCCCCTAAAATCCCTTTCTTAAGTCTAGTTCTGCCCTTTGTAACTGCTCAGACTTAATCTGATTCTTTTGCCATATGAAGATAGCCTTGTATCTTTTCTCTCCCAAGCTAAATAGCTCCTTTTTTTCAGCTGCCTCTCAAGATCCGTAGCACATAATAATAACTTAATAAATGTTCGTTACAAAGAAGGAAAGAATAAATAAATATGATAGCTAGACCTCTCACTTGTTCCCCTTTAAAGCATCAAGCATCTGTGCTATGTTCTAGGTACATGCTAGGAACCATATTTCTAGAAGAAAATGAAACGATTTCCTTTGATGTGCTCTTGCACTGAACAGTCCTACCAAAAAGACCGTGTTTTATTTTCTGACATAGAACAGTGCCCTCATCTTTGACATCTCAGGTTTGCATCAGGTCACAGCAAGCTTGAGTTGAACAGCCAACCTAGTGCTTTTCTTCAGGGTTAAAGGCAAGACCTGGGCACAAGGGGATCAGCTCCAATTTACGCAGGCTAAGTTTGTACTCTAACATACAAAACTCGGGCTTACCTCAGCTAAAATGGTAGAAATAGCTGCCCAAAGCTAGTTTCTTTCACGCCCCACTGGCAAGGTAGTAATTGCACAAAGACCTTTTTATTATAAGTTGATTTTCCTGAGAAATGAATTCAGAAAAATACTGTAAAGTGTTTATTTTTTGCTTGCCCTTTATTAACCCACATCTTAGGGCTTTCCCTAGAGAAAAGCTGTTGGTAAATGAAACCTCTTAGACCCACACACAGAAGCATTTTTGCACCATGTCCCTGGCTGTGGAGGGAACAGGGACAGGACAAGGCAAGTTGGCGCTATGTAAACAGGGTCATCAGCCAGTGTATGGAATTTTGCCTAAAGAGAAGATTTAAGAATTTAAATGGGGGAAGGGTTTGGGGTTGGTAGAATTACTGGTAAGTGTTTGTATCTTAAACAGGATATAATGCAGCTCTTTTATACTAGTAAAGAGCCCAAAGACCCAGTTTGAACTTAAAGAGCATCTCTGTTAGTACATCCTAGTTTTGATCTTTAAATAACAAAAGTCCTATAGTTCAACCTATGAAATCAGGCACTAAAAGCCAGGGCAGTACCTTACTGTGATGCTATACTGGAATCAGGGTAGCATGTGTAGAGTAAAAAAAAAGGAGCTAGGAAATTAAAATGTGATTTCACAGGCATGATTTTGTCATAGCTCTTATTTTCTTTATATGGAATACAAATACAGATATAGAGTGAAGATTTTCTATTTTGCATTTTTGTGCTCTTTGATACATTTATTGAGGTCAAATGAAATTTGATATAGTAGGATTTATTATGAAATGCTCTCTGAATACAACTCCATAATTACTGAGCTACATGGTAGTGCATAAAGCTGTAAAACTGCTAAGCCAGACAAGCAATTTATATGTTACATCAAGGTGTGTATGGCAAAGAATATTAGTTTAATTGGGAGCCAAGATGTAGTAGCCTTAAATCTAAAGAGCTATATGTTTAACATAATGCGGTAAGGCTTTGAAATAAGATACCTAAACTGGGGAGATAAAGCATTTGGAATATATAACAATTAGACATTATTTTCTGACCAAGAGATACTAAATGCTGTTTTCCAAATAAAGGGCAGACAGAATGCAAAGCAGGTCAAAGGGCAAAACCTTTCAACATTGCACAGTGTAAGAAGCAAACTTATTTCTTCCGATTGTTTTAAGGAAAAAAAAAAAAGAAAAAAAGGAAAAGAAAAGAGTCGAGATAAAAGAAAAACCATTCACCACAATTTGGTGGAAGCAGGGATGAGGCAAATTCACGACAAGGTTGTGTCCTTGGAGTCCTAATGGGATCTAAGAACAGGGATTTGGTAACTTTTGCCTGTGTTTTCTCAGGGAGCAGCTTCGGAATGAGGTCAGAAGTGGGTGGCTGTTTGGGTACCAGCACACCAGCAGGAGTGAAAAACAAATACTTCTTGGCATACATTTGTTCTCTGTCTGATCATAGGCTCTCTTCTGTTTAGCAGGTTCAGGGTCACATGCCTCCGCTCATGATCCCAATTTTTCCACATGACCAGCGGACCCTGGCAGCAGCTGCTGCCGCCCAGCAGGGCTTCCTCTTCCCCCCTGGAATAACATACAAACCAGGTAAGTAGAGAGGAATTCAACATTCTTTTGGAAATGCTAAGATCCTCATGTTTTTGCTTAGTAGTCACAACAAACACAGGAGCATACAAAGGAACTATGAATAAAATGATCATAAAAGCTGATTTTAAAGTCAAATTAGAACCGGAAAGTTAATTGGGAAGGAGGTATGTTACTCGTTTGTTGCAAAAAAACTTTTACTTTCTCTTTTTCCACCTGGTTTGTTCTGAATTCACAGATAAAATGCTACTTTCCCTGGAGACCACAAATTTCTGTTAGCTCGCTCTCATACCTTTACTGTGAATAATTGTCTTTGGTTAAACACACTTTCCTCCTCCTCAAGAGCTTTTATGCTCTGGGAGAGTGGTCACATACACTATAAAATGCTATTGTTGTTTGTTGTCTGATTTCTCCTGGAAGAAAAGTTAAAACTGGGCAGATTTAATTAGCTCACCACTAATAGGTAAGATTCCTTTTTGATTTTAGTTGAAATAATGAAGCATTCAGTAGTATTTTCTCATTCATCTTTAAACCTCAAAACAGGTCACATAACCTTGCAGTGAAATATGTTTTGAGATGATTTAGCAAATGTTATGATTTTTCTTTATTCCTCTGAGTTTACTGGACTCCTGGGGAATTCAATTAGGGACATAATGGTTTGAAGCTTCTTTCAGAGCCTCCTTGTAAACAGTGCTTTAAATGTTTAAAGATATGTTGCCAAAGGAATCCAATGTAAGAAGATAGTCAAGTAAATAAAGTCAACCTTAATTTCATTTGTGCATTCTTTGTAAGTGACCTCAGCTCAGAAGTAGTGACCTTGTTCTACTCATTAATAATTTCCGTGTCAAGTTCTTTTTAACATATTAACCTGATTATATTAACCACCAAATCTGAGTGCAACAAATCTGAGCGCAGCGGCTTCTTTGTGTATGGGGTGTATAAAGTGAACAAAGGCATTTTAATGTGCTTAAAGTAATAATAAAATATAAATCACTTTACTAAAATCCTCAGTAAGGAAGCTTACTACATAGCGTAAAAAACAAATCTAGTGAGGTTTCACATCTATTTTAGTTGTTTATTGCTATCGATTACTCTTTTGCATTTGGTAGATTACCATCTTCCTTGTGAGGAAAGGTAGGATGTCTGTCAAAACTCCTATCTTTCAAGGAACAGAGATGTTAAGGATTTGCTTCATTTAAGGACTGACTTTGAAAGTGCCTCAGGTACAAATTAGCCACACCTGGTATTACCAGAGATTTTGGGATACCTGAATGAAAGAAAATTCTATTGTTCAAATTGTCAAAATTTGATTTTTCTACAGCAGGATTTTTAGAGCAAATTTTATTCCCTATGAAATTGATATCCATATTAAGGACAGGAGTATATTTTGTCAGAAAATATTTTTCTGTCAGTGGTTCAATCCTTCCCTGATGTCTCTAAGTAGTTCTGAAATATTTTTCCCCTTGACTTCCCTTGGAACATTGATGTGAGCTAAATCTACTGGTTTACCCTGAATCTGGGTAGTCATTCCTATTCCAGTCTTAGAAACCTTTTTAATGATCTGTGCAAACCCTCTGTTTAATTTCAGTGTTTCTACATTTAAAATTCTTCACGTTTAAAAATTGGGTATGAGCCTTATTTTCTACTAGACATAACATCAGCATAGTTGACATGTTACTTACCTAATTTTGCTAAAAACAATAATGCTGTTTTTCATGGGGGAATATATTGTTACATAGTTAATGAATTTGGACCACTTTTTAAAAATTCTTCTCACACAGCATCAGTGAGATTGTAGAGAGTAAGAAGAATATGGAGATTGATGCGTCGCCTGGGTGGCTCAGTTGGTTGAGCATCTGACTCTTGATTTCAGCTCCGGTCATGATCCTAAGGTCGTGGGACCAAGCTCCACATCAGGCTCCATGCTGAGTGTGGAGCATGCTTAAGATTCTCTCTCTCTCTTTTCCTTAGCCCTCTCCCATGCTCATGCTCTCTCTAAAATGAATAATAATAATGATAAACAAATAAACAAATAAATAAAAGAAGAATATGGAGATTGGGAGAATATTTTACGGGAGTGAGTCATCTCCATCAAACAACATATGTGCAGCATATAGTAGTGATCAGGGGTAGCAGAATTGTGTTTGATTGTGGTGGGTAAAAATGTTGGTTAAGGCAGGACAGTGGGTTTGGACTCATAGGGCAATTTTTAATCACAAGCAAGGCTGATAAAATAAGGTATTTTCTGGTGACCCCTAAGAAAATTTTATTAACCAGAACTCTAAATTCTTTAATATTTTTGCTGATCTAGGTATTATTGCATATACAAATTATCATTAAAAGGATTAAAACTATATGTTTTTATGTGATTAGTAGAGAAATTATGTACTCAGGAGACTTCATCTCTACAGTGTTTTTGTCATTCACATCAATTGGAGGAGTAGAGGAAGCATGTTAGACTGGAGTCTGGACTAGGAAAACTCTTTGCCCCAAACTGAGCTAAGAGAGTTTCATTTGAAATACATGTGAAATAATGATTAATTTTTTTAGTTTATTTATTTATTTTGAGAGAGACAGCAAGCCGGAGTGAGGCAGAGAGAGTAGGGGGAGAGAGAGAGAGAATCCCAAGTAGCCTCCACACTGTCAGTGCAGGGACCGATGTGGGGCTTGAACTCACAATCCATGAGCTCATGACCTGAGCTGAAATTGAGAGTCAGATGTTTAACCAACTGGGCCACCCAGATACCCCAATGACCAACTTTTTAGAAAAGAGTAGCTCTGTCACATATAAAAGCCTTGAAATGGTGGCATAACTTTATATTTTGATCCCCTAAGCAACAAGATGAATGATCACTATCTTGGTCTTATAAATCACAAAATACATTGTTCTGTTTTTGCACCTTTTCCGCCTTCCCATAACCTGAGACAATTCCATAGTGTTTGTGCCTTCAGTTGTTTGAACAATTGTCTTGATTTCCAGAGAGCACGGGCTACCTTAGGGTGATGTTCACTGTCAAAGTTGACTGTTTCTGAATCCATTATCAGGACAGTCTAAACAAATACACTTAGGGCTATGGGCCTTCTTTCCTTCAGATAATTTGACCCATCGCTCTGGGCATATCAGGGTCTCTGTATGCAATAAACACCAAACAAACTCTCCCACTTCAGTAGGTTGCTAAGGAGGCTTGTGGCCTACAGGGATTGTGCAGTCTCAGGGAAATATCTATCAGATTAATATCTGTAGACATAGCTTTATTGAGTTTTAACCTTTAATTAATTTTTTTATTGGTTCTCTAATTAGAGACGTCATTCTAGAAAGGAATTCATCAGGACCCAGATCATACACCACAGAATTTTGGTTGTTTTGCTCTTTCACATTATGAAACTGAGAGACGCAGCATTCCAGGGCAAGATAAATGCATTTAAGTACCTATATTTGAGAAAATTGAAAGATTAAGCCCCTTTCATAGCTGGTGAGGTGTATGTCAGACAGGATTGAATTGCCTGCAAAATAAAAATAATGGATATCCTCCTTCATGCACCAGGGATGGTGCAGGTGACCCATGGACTTTGTGCAGTTGGGATTTTTAAAATAATTGCTGCTAGAGCAGCCATCCTTGGCTTTCTAGGAGATTCTGGGAGTAGAATCTCTGCCTGTTCCTGCCTTCAGCACCCACTTTTTAGTTATAATATAGTAGCTAAAGCCTCCTGAATACTTATTTTATGCCAAACACTGTGCTAAGTATTTTACACAGATTATTTTATTTAATTATTACTTGAACAAGTCATTTAACCTTGCTGAGCCTCACATTTTTCTCATCTAAAAAATTTGTCCACTGCTCAGTGTGGGTGTGAAGATTAAATTTGTTAAAATGTATGAAAGTTCTTTGGAAACTCTAAAGCACTAGGTTTGGGGGTAAAATCTAAGTAAATTTAACAACACTAAACTACATCCTTATCCATTAGAAGTGTCCAAAAGTATCCCTCTGCCTGGTGACCAAAAATAATTTTACAAGTATACCTAATGCTGCTTTTAGAAAAAATTATGGTGAAATATACATAATATTTAATATTTTAACCATTTATAAATATGCAACTCAATGACATTAATATATCTGCAATGTTGTATAACCATCACCACTATCTCTACCCAAAACTTTTAATCATCTGCAACGAAAACTTTGTGTCCATTAAACAATAACTCCCCCTATTCCCCTCGTAACCTCTATTTTACTATCTTTCTCTATGAATTTGCCTATTCTAGATACTTCATGTAAGTTGAAACCAGACAATATTTGTTCTTCTATGTCTGGCTTATTTCACTAAACATGATGTGTTTAAGGTTCATCCATATTGCAAAGAGCCAGTTTTCCCAGCACTATTTGTTGAAAAGATGTTCTTTCCTCATTGAATATCCTTGGCACTCTTGTCAAAAATCAATACACCATGTATATTTCAGGGCCCTCTAATCTGTTTAATTGGTCTGTATATCTGTTCTTATGCCAGTACCATACTGTTTTAATTACTGTACCTTTGTAGTGAATTTTGAAATCAGGAATCATGAGTCTTCCAACTTTATTCCTTTTCAAGATTGTTTTGGCTATTGGGAGCCCTTACAATTCTGTATAAGTTTGAGGATTGGCTTTTCCATTTCTGTGATAAAGAGTTTTGGAATTTTGATAGATATTTCACTGCATCTGTTGATTGCTTTGGATAGTATTGATATCTTAACAATGTTAAGTCTTCCTATTGATGAACATTTCCATTTATATAAGTCTTTTAAAAATTTTCTCAGCAATGTTTTATAGCTTTCATGTACAAGACTTTCATGTCCTTTGTTAGATTTATTCCTAAGTATTTAATTATTTTAGATGCTATTATAAATAGAAATGGTTTCTTAATTTTCTTTTGGATTGCTTATTGCTGGTATATAGACAGACAAGTGATTTGTGTGTGTTAATCTCACAAGATTGCAACTTTTGCTAAATTTGCTTATTAGCTCC